TTACGTTTAATGAACGTGCTTAAGACGATCACCTCGTGTGCTTGTAATAATGATCTCTCTCATCATCGCACCGACATTTATCCTGTGTCCAACCCTTGATTTGGAGCAATTTCGAATAATGAAAATCCTCTTGTAACACTTTCTGCGCGCAGCAGGCAGAGTGAGAAATAAAGATCTTTGAAAAGTTCGTAAGCCAAGTCGTAGTATGTGTATTGGTATTCTTATAAAATGTACCACACTGTTACGTAATTAATGTTTAACTTTTCAATAAAAAATCTTCCTTTGTTTAATTTATATATTTATCCTTTTTTTTAACGAAATTATATTAGAATAATACATAAAATAATAATTTATGTATGACATAATGATAATTAGAAGAGTATCTGAACGTCCTTCATTAGGGTTTCTAGAGAAATAAGAATTTCACAGCTTCGTTACAATGAACCTTCGTTGACGTTTATTCGAGAGGGATCTCCCCAAATCCTGAAGCACGTACTAGACTAGAAAAGCTGTTTGACGAATAAATACGTTGCAAACACAGTCGAGTGTGTATACGAGGAATAACCCTCGGTCCTGATGTGGACAGATGTATGGCTCGAAAGAACACTCGTCTTTCGAGAACATACTAGCTGAAGTGATGACAAGAAAAACTGACAGAGCTTAGCAAATGACGAACGCCGTATTACTTGAAGCGAACATATTTTGATAGTACTTCTACTCGTGCCTGATAGAAACTCCTTGAATTGCGTTCGAGTGACTTAATATGGAGCAATTAAAGCGTTTGAATAAAATCCATATTTGAAAGTTATGAGAAATTAAATGTACTTATTTTTTAGTGTCAAAATTTTATTTAGATATCAGTAGTTTGATTTTGTAAAAGGAATTAATGTCTCGTAATTTTTTACTTGTGAATGTTTTAATTTCTGTCTATTTTTAAAGATATAATTTTATTTTATATACTTTTTACGTCTATATACCAGCTTTTATAAGAGCGGATTTCATACGTCAAATTTCCTTGCTTCTGCTTACGTACACTCGTATAACAAATAGTTAAATTAAAATTAACTAGCACATCATCTGAACAGAGAAATATGATAGCATTTTAATACTACGAGAAATGTAAGACTTACCAAGGGTGCCATCCAGAGAAAAAGAATGCCTATCGTTTCTCCATGCCCACGAACACAAATCGCAGGTGGTGAGCCCATCGGTGGCGATGCTCTCTTCGGGTAGATAAGGTGGTCTAGGTGGCGGGGGTACAAAGCTTCCAATAACAGCCCACAAGGAATCGACGTCGTTGCCGACGCCGGTGTAATACAACAATTCTTCCTCGGCGACTCCGGCGAACCAGTCCATATCGTTTACACTAGGATGGACTGTGTTTGTACTTGTCGTGGTTGAACCGGTGACCGTGACCTAAAAAAACAATACAATTGGTCAATACGAATTTACAATTAATATTAAAACATGTTTAAAGACTAACTGTGTTTCTTACTCTTTCGATTTTAATGAAAAATTATCTTTGATTGGACATAAAAATTTTGTAATTATACAATGCACGATATATTTTCATATATACACAATTGGACGTACATTTATGCTATAACAAATTATCGTACATTTTTTAAATTTAAATAATAAAAATTTGGGAAATCATTTTCACGTAGATATTTTAATTTTATAAAAAACTTTCTCTGATTTAGTTATATTTAATAATATGTAGTTTGGAAATTTCGCAACGTTTTTAATCATATTCATTAATTAATTTTATAGGATAAATTTGAGCGCAATCTATTATTACTAATAATTTTTTATATATAGTGCGGTTTATATTTTGCTATAGTCTATATGTCTCTCAATGCGCTCTGACAGTCCCAAGTAAACACGACTAATGGAACCTCCCTATCTTTGCGTGAGCTGTGGATAAAGAATCGAACGCATCCAGTCTGTCCTCTGGTACATGTTTCAGGAAATGGTGGGACAAACAGACGTTAAAATCAAAAAGCGAGGAACAAAGTCGGCGCATTTCTGAACATTTTTCTTGCTTGAAACAGTGGGGAACACCGGATGAAGCGGGTCTTCGCAAAGAGATGTTCAGTGTCCTAACTCTTACGACAAACACTGAAAAATTGTATAGGCAATAGCAAACAAACGCGCCTTCTTTCTTTCTCTCGCTCTTTTAAATCGTTTCCTGCGTCTCGTACAAAAATTTAATGAAGAGACTTATAAACACATAGCAACTAGACGTCTATACGTTAATTAAGGAAATAAATTAAATCTATATAGTAAATATACTCTCGAAAATCTTTGCCATATTGAATGAGTAGGAGATAACGAGAATTACAAACATATACGAGTTTCTTTATTTTAATACAAATATAAATTAATAAGGATTGGTTGTTTCACCTTCGGATAAATTATGTGGTATTTATCTAATAGATAAAAGAGGGAGTGAATAAACTGAGATTTTTCGAAAAGTGGAACAACTTAAAACTTATGTGTCTGATAAGAATAAGTTTATTTCAATATAACGTACACACACACACACACACAACACACACAATACACACAGCACACAGGATCAAAACTTATATCATTTAACATATTTATTGATTCCAAAATATTTGAAGTGTACGTATTCTTTCCGTAAGAAATAAATATGCACCTCTGAGATCATAACGTAATCGCACGTGGTTAGCATGAGATGATCAAGAAAATATTTTAACTGCATAGCATTATATTCGAGTGCGTAGCATGAAGAAATATATACATATAAGATCTGCGTAGATCATCAAACAGTGATTACTTCGAAAGATGATGATTTTGTAAGACAAAATTCCATGCCATAAGATAAAAAAATTTAATGGAGAATTTACGAGTCGATAGATAGCGAATCATTATTCCATGCTGATATTTTCGGTATCGTAATTATAATGATTGAAATACAGAAATATTGGAGAGATATTAGACGAACGTATGGCTTTATTTTTGCTTATTTGATTGTAAAATCAGACCATAATTGTAGTATGTTTATTTAAAAATGTAGATATTCTTTGCGAACGGGGATCGCATGCAACTTGGAATTAATGACTTTATCCATCCGTTGCCACGAGGCATTCCAACGTGTTTCATGTGAACCGCATATCAATCTAAGATACGCAATCAGATATTCAAACGGAATGATACATTCGTGATTTTAGAGATTAGTATTAGAGATAAATGTAGTTCGTCAAGATAGAAAGAAATATTACGGTGCCTTTAATGTGCTTTTATAAATTACTATGCATAACCAACTTTCTTCTTAATGGAGCGTACTAACTAGAGTTTTGTATAAAAAATACAATGTTAAAATTAAAATTAATATATCTCAATCTTAATTTATACTTCTTTAATAAGAAAATTGTATATAATAATTAGATGAAAATGAAGTATATCAATTGAATACAAAAAAAATCTTAAGGAGATCCTAAAATGATAGAATTATCAACATTACAGATTAGAAAGTAGTTCTTCAAATTGGCTGTACAAGAGTTGCAAAATCCTTTTATGCAATTAAAATATGCATAAAAAATTGCGAGAAAAGATTAAAAAATTATAATAATACTAAATATATAATAACTTTTTTTATTTTTTCAAATCGATTATCTTGCATCTTTTTTTGTATTTTAATTATGTAAAAGGATTTTACAATCTATACGTTACAGCCAATTTGGAGAACTTTCTAATCTGTAATATTGATAATTTTGTCGCTTTAGGAACCCCTTAAATCTATCTGCAAAATATAACAACCGCTATTAAGACGCATTAAAGATATCGAACGATTTTAGTGTTCGGTCGTCACGCTTTAAAGGATTAAAAAGATTGAAAAGCATAGAAACAATGCCCCGCGAAGCGTTCCCCTCCATTGAATTCCATCAGCTTCGGATCTGATCGAACGATCGAACGAAATAATCTCCCCATGAAGGGGATCCATTCGAGTGCCCACGATGGTTCTTCATATCCGATGTTCTCGTCACCGGTAGGTAGAAGACCCAACGGTTTGCGTATCATCGACGGGATTGAGAGAGTCACTGTGTTTATTCTCCTCCCCGTTCTTTGTCGTGGCTTTTCCACGGCGCGGCGGCGGTGAGGTGGTCGCGGTGAAGATTCGACTGCAGGCAGGATGCGTCCTTGTATCCCCACGGAAGGTGGGATGCTTTTGTGGCGTGCGGAGGAGGCTCGTGGTCGGGATTGCGGATAGGAACCCGGGTGAAGCACTGAGGCTCTCCGCTTGGCGCACAATAGCACGCATTGATCGGCTTAATTACCGTGATATCGGCGTAATTAAAGCCCCGTTGTGTTGGGACCCTTTCTACGAAGGCGTCGAAGTAACCCGTGACTCGACTCCCGGCGTCAGGATTCTCGCATTCTCTCCGTCTCTCTTTTCGATTCCTTCGTACGATTCTCGTCAAGGCCCCTCTGTCACTTCCCCGCGTTCCTCGGCAACGCTTTGTTAATAAGCCATTATCCGGCCGGCGACGCACCTTCGGCGTATCGATGAGGCGCGCGTTCAATCGCGTGGTGCTTTTAAAGAAGCGCGGCTTGTAGAGGCCAGTCGTGAAGAAATTACGAAGGCAATCTTATTCGCGGTGTGCGCGGGACCATCCAAGTAGAGTCAATTTTTCAAGTGAGCACATCCGCTCACTTGAGTGAGTATATCGCAATTTGATATCGAGAAAAGAGACGAAAGATTACGCCCACATAATGATGAACGATATTGGAAAGAGCTTTGCCTTATATTTTTCTCTACGTTTATCTTTTCTCTTAATTTTATACTTGATAACATTTTTTACCAGCGTTCTGAAATCTGACTGCAATTTTATCGTATTTTTCTAAAATATTAAATTTAAATAATTGTTATATTAATATAATTACTTTTAACTCTATTAATATGTATGACTTATATATTTTGATCATCCTGTACGTTAAACAATATCTTGAGACAATTAAGAATCAGCAAACTGTCACACGGGATTATCCTTTCCGGATTTCTAACGTGGTGTTATAAATTTTTTGTGTGATACTGCATTATCTGTGCGCATTTGCATCATTTGGATTCAAGGCCAAAATCAAAGTATCGTGTGTTATCTTTCTAGATTGACTGTGAAAAAGAACTATAGCCGAAGACCGTAGTCAATCTCGACGTTGTGACCGCTTCAGATTTAAGGTTAGTGACACGAAAACCAGTTTACATTTCTATTTGCGACATGCAACGATATTCACGTTTACGACTAATCGTTTCGTTATATATTGTACGATAATACTTCCTATACGACATGCACAATTTTACAAATATTTTATAAATATCCACGTCCGTATTAGCTAATTAAATATTAAAAAATAGGGATTGTTCCATTAATTTGCAACATTTGATGCATGACTTTGATAAGGACTGATTCAAAGTGCTAGCTATCTTCGAGCTATTACTTTCCGATCTCATCAGCTATGCTCGTTATATTTGAAGGAAACATCTCGTTATAATTACGAGGCGTTGGCGTTTACGAGCGAAAAGGAATGAAGCCTTATACTTGTTAACTTTAACATCCTGTTCAACTGCTCTGTCCTTTCTGGACAAGCGTGACTCAACCCTTTAAAAGATTTGTTAACTCGAACTTTGTGTTCTAACGCGAATTTGTGCGTTACGTTTAGATACGAACAATTGTCTTTGTCCATCTTATATTATCGAAATTATTTAAGTATCCATTTGTGACTGATGAAAATATTCTTTTTTATTTGATTAAAATTATTATCGTAAAATGAAATAAAAAACAGATAAACTGTTTGAAAATTAGGATAGATAAAATCAAAGTATTAAACATTAATAGATGTTACATAATTAGCATTTAAATGTTTGTGTAAATATTACTCACAACGATTGAAACATAACTTTTACGCGATGGGAATATAAGAAACGTTGAATTCAAAGGGCCGACGTCCAGAATGCGACAAAAATGATAGAGTCTGTCTCAAATTTCCATGTTAAAGTAGATTTAAGATTCTTCCGACATTTCGATTGCGATTCACACCATTGTCCCTTATGGCTCCTTTCGTGTCCCCTTACTAACATTCTTCGTCTGTCTTCCTATCGTCTTGGAATATATCTTAGAGCTCGCACCGCGGAATTCGCGCCCTGTTTCTATCGAACCGCCGCGCCGCCACCGCCTCTCGACGTGTTTCGTCGGACCGCACGCATTTGCAATTCTGACACATTTGGCGGTGAAGTATAACACAGTGCACGCTATTCGCTGGTGAATCCGCTCTCCTCGGGACAAAGACAAAAGGAGAAGAATACCCCCATGAGCTACGTGGCGGGAACGTTGGAATATCAAATGATTCTTGGAAAGATCCTCCCTGGTCCATCTCACGTCGTCTCTTCGTCTTCGATCCTGTTCTCTCCGTCGTCACTGACGTTGTTTCGCGATCTTCGTGGCCCCCGTGAATTTTCGGCGCTTCTTGGCGCAAGGCGGGGGGACGTGTCCCATCATTCTCCTTTTACTCTTCCTTTCCCCCTTTTCCCCTCTCGCTAAGTTTGAGAGGTCGTTAAAGATGGGTTCGAGGTCCAGGGCCGTATATAACGGATAATTGACAGCCGTGCCGGGGCCGCCGTTTGCTTTGCATGGACATTGAATCCGCGTGGATGGACGTACGGCCGAAAGGAGACGAGAGGCGGTGCGACGTGAGGCTACGAAATTCGACCGACCGGTCGAACGGAACCACGAGAAAGCATGAGACGTGACGTTCGGCCAGGAGGAAGTGGAGGGCAAATGCTTGTGCTCGCTCAACGGACTCGTAAATTCTTCAATTCTGATGTTCGGAAAGGCACAAACGCGATCGTGACACGGTACTTTCTTCCTCGCGAGGGGCAATCTCATTTCGGCTTAATTGCAGCCCGATGTAGCGGTACTTTAGCAGTTATCTATACCTTATCGAAAAAAAAGATAAAAATACGAGGCCTGTACCCCGATTCTGTAACTCTTAACTACAAATCGATACCGTTGTTGTTGCATAGATATTATATATGGTAAAAAAAAAACTGCGCAACACAACAACATACCGAACTGTTAAGAGTTACAGAATCGGGGTACTGGGATAAGAAATTAAAAATGTGAAAGTGTGAAAAAATGTGATTCTTTTTCAAGAAAAATAATAGAAATTTTATAATTTGTATAAACTAAAAATATGTTTTTTCATATTTCCATCTCTTCTGTTACTTTATAAAGATTGCGAAGCATTTCTTATTTGTACGATACATATATGAATGTAATCGATAGGAATTGGATTCAATTATGTAATCACAGTATCTATCTAAAGTGTCACGTATAGCATTTGCATATCGTATTCCTTTATTAAATAGTTGGAGTTCTGATAAAGCTAAATAAGACATAAAGTTACCGGTTTAATCGAGTTCTTTCTAAATCATACACGAAACTACTATAAAGTTACAGAACGAGTAATGGCCACTTGTGAAACCGATGCTATACGCAATATACAATTTTGCGAAGAGTTATACGTTTTCAATGCGCATGCATTGTTATTATCGGTGATTTAGCGAATATACCTAACACGCCCGATAATTGAGAGGGCAATTTAACCGGACAGACAAATGCGACAAGATTATAAAGATCCGTTCCGCGTTGCGTATATACGCACTTTCGTATGTGCGAGGCGAGGGTCGCGATACGTGAACGTGCGGTTACGCGAATCGCAAGTGGAGCGTTCGTAACGCCCGTGAAAGTATATGAAGTCTCCTTTAAATTACGCCGCAAATTACCATCTCCCGCTGTTTCGCCGTGCGCCGCGACCCCACGCGTGCCATGCAATAGCACGCAACACCCTCACGCATTAAGAGAGCTAATGAACTTCTCAGAGTATATTTCAGCTGGCCGTACATTTTTCTTTGATGCGTTCCGCGTCGTTATGAAGACAACGGCGATGATGATTTTCACACCCGAGCGGCTTTTTATCGAACCGCGCGCCGTCGACACGTAGGAGTACTCGCGCGTGTATGCACGCACGCGCGAAGAATATTAACGCTCGTGATTACGCCAGGACACGACGGACCTTTAATGCTTATCCTCCTCTCGCCAGTGAAATGCGATTTGCGAAGGCTCTTTAATCAAGTGACTTTATTATATGTTTGTGTCACTATATTTACCTTCTCCTAGTTATTCACGCACGAAATGCTAATATAAGATACGTATTATTATGTAGGAATTTAATAACTATACTTGATGCATGCTAAATTATTTAATTATCTACTCGCGACACTGAAGTTATTTATTTGCTTAAAATAGAAGACAGATTTTTCCTTTTATTAATTACTTCTAATCCTATAAACAGTTAAGCGCCTATAATAAATACATCATTACGTTCACATCAATTAAAAGAAAATATTTTATCTCTTATCGTATGTTTCTTGTAAACATTTTTGACTAACAATAAGTTTTTAACTTTCATAATTCCTTTTAACAATTTTTATATACTTGACATGTTTTCTTTTTCTAGGGGGGCCGGGGAGAGATTCGATGCGACAATATAATTCAAACATAAATATACTTGTGATTTTTGTGAGAATACCTTTCATTGCAATTTTATTGTTACATATCAGTTATTATCCCGAGGAGATTAGATTTGAATGTCTGATGTCTGAAATTAATTTCTGGTTTTATGACTCGAGATAGATAAAACCATAATCAACGTCGAAATCTATTTCGTTCGCTTTCTTGCCTCGAAGAAAGGTTGAAGCGAACGGACAAAAATGACTTGTCAAAAGATACTTTAGTCCTCCCTAAGAACCGGGTGATCGATCTAAAACGGCCAACAGGATCTACGGGTTCTGTTGATTTCTCGCAGGGTCGTGCCTGCGGTTTTCCGAACCTGTTTCTTCTAGTTTGTGCTTCTTACCTTTCTTCTTCGTAGCGACTCGCGTTAAAACCTTGTTCTCATTTGGCTTATATTAGTATTGGGGACGAGATAAAATCCGGTGGCGGATTAGCCCCGGTAATAGCATCGATACTAAACCAGTCCAGGACCGGCCTGATGTCATAATATTATGGTACGTGCTGATGTTAGTGGCGTCGTCGTGTGACGCGAGAACTTCCCTTTCTATCGGATGAACAATGTTAGTGTAGCTGAAAACCGACACGTGTGGTAGTGAAGCAACAATGTTAAATCGTCATAGATTTTCATTACCTGAGATAGAAAGAAAAATCTTTAAAAATAGAGATCGAAATAAAATTATTTGTTCTATACAAATAAAATATTTATTGCGCTAACAAGGAGACAATTAATTCAATGAGAAAAGCAGGAATTAATAGTAATAGGGACAATAGGCCCAAATGTAGAAGAACGGAAGATATGAAGGCGCATGCGAATCTGCTGTCCCATTAATTTTCTGGGAGAGCGAGCACAGAACTTGCCGATAATGAGTTAACGTGGGATCGAGGATCTCGTTTATCTTCGTCTTTCGCTTCAAACTCTCTCGCGTGCATCCGCGATCGAACTTGATGAACGTTCTATGACTTATCTCTGTCCATCTGATCAAAATCGATTGTAGAAGCAGAAATAGTCAGGAGAGGAAACAACGACGCTGAACTGAATGGGGGAAAAATACCGAGCAGTATATAGTAGACACCGCGACTACTTTGTCTGTCTGTACGCGTTGAATCATCCGGTCGGTTTCCTTTCACGAGTCGATGGCAGCCGTTCCCGCATCAAGGCCTGTGGTCTCCTCCGAGCAAGCATAATGACTCAATCCACGATCCACCTTGCCCCCACCCTCATCGTGACCACGAGGATCTCTCTCTCTTTCTCTCTTTCTCTCTTTCTCTTTCTCTTCCCCAACTTCTCCTCCTATCCGTACCACCCTATCTCTCTTTATCTTGTGAAGATTATACGTCCGTTCGTCTCTCGGCGAACCCGAAGACAAGAGATCTGTGGTTTTTCTCGTGACCGCCTGCTTTACACAGTTTCCTTTGCCGCTGTATTCTTTAAACTCCTTCCAACTACTCTTTATCTTTGTCTTCATGTTCTTGTTCTTCTTCTTCTTCTTCTTCTCCTCCGTTTTCTTTGTGATCGACCCTCACGGAGTAGACTTCAACGGCGTTAACTCGTGCGCTCGCGTGACGCTATGCTGTTTATAATGTTGGACGATCCCTCCTGTGATTA